CACCATCGGAGAAAGGGCTTTGAGGTTTCTCGTTTTGACTTTTCATGACATTTCACCATTTGGAAGTCAAGCTTCCACAACGGAAGTCGAGGAAGTCAAAGTCAAGGACTTTTGGAATTGTTGGTTGATTTCAAGGAGAAGACGTGCTTCTTTCGAAGACGTGTGGAACAACTGAACAACTTCGGCAAGAAAGAGCAATGAGAGGGCCGGTATGGTCTAGTGGCTGTAACGCACCCGGGTTCAATCCCCAGGTGGAACGGCAGACAGGTGTGGACCATAGACACCACAACAAAAGGGCTTTGAGGTCACTTATCCACTTTCCGCAATTTTGAAGTTAATCTTCCACAACGGAAGTCCAGGACATGAAAGTGAAGAACTTTTCAATGACTTCCCCTTTATGACACGACTCCCTTCTTTGATGCAAACTGAAAACGGAAGAAACTTGAGTGTCCGGCAACTTGAGTGTTTGGTATCGAAGTAGTCACAAAGGCTAAGTTTACGTCCCTTGTCACCTGAAAGTCCCACAATGCCTACGGAATCTGCAGCATAGCTGGTGATACAACGAAGCAGTACACCGTAGACGTTCCAATCAAGCGGTGTCGCATGACACTGTAAGCCTTCACCATCGGAGAAAGGGCTTTGAGGTTTCTCGTTTTGACTTTTCATGCCATTTCACCATTTGGAAGTCAAGCTTCCACAACGGAAGTCGAGGAAGTCAAAGTCAAGGACTTTTGGAATTGTTGGTTGATTTCAAGGAGAAGACGTGCTTCTTTCGAAGCCGTGTGGAACAACTGAACAACTTGTGCAAGAAAGAGCCATGAGAGGGCCGGTATGGGCTACCGGTGGCTGTGACGCACCCGGGTGCAATCTCCGGGTGCATCACCAGCCGGACAGGTGGGCCACTTCCACACCCCTGCAGGTCAGGGGATGAGCTAGGGTGTGGACTCTGGACCATAAAAACCACAACAAGAAAGAGCAACGATATGCTAAGTTGTCGTGTGATCAAGCAGCTGGGAAAGTTTCTTGCTGGAGCCTGGTTCACTAGGAGACCAGAGTGATGCCCGGTGGCACCCCGTTGGTAGATACAGCTAGGCTAGCCGCAGCCATTTCCTCGCATGCACTGTTGACCAAATGTCAAGCTGAACTTTAGCGAGCAGCAAGCTCCGGCGTCAAGCCATTCTGCACAAAACATTCCCAGGGATCCAAGTACCTTCTCAGAAGGTGATTGGAGGCACTGTTATGTAGGTATGGAGGGTCCAAGTACCTTCTGAGGAGGTACTTGGATCCCTAGGCATTAGCCGATGTGAGCAGTCCACAGTTGCATTGAGCTGATGAAGAGCCAGGTTTATTTGAGCGTCAGCGATTGTGAAGTTGCGCATTGGGAAGGGACGGCAATGGGTCAATTAGTGTTGTCATACCCAGAATCTTTCTGATGCATTTGCTACATGGCGTTTGTCCGGTCCAAGCGCTTGCCTTGACATTTCACATCGACTTGGCACATGGTTGAAACCAGCATCTTCGCATGAGCAGATCTGTGGTTGGAAGCTGAAGAGGCCCCGTGAACATCAGTTGAACCACTTCATGTGGGCATATTTTTGCAAAGTCCATGAACGATTGAATCTTCGAAGAATCTCAAATACATGTTCAACCTGCTTTTTGTAGCGCTGTTTTACGAATCAGGCGGTATTGGGGCAAACGAACAGATTTGGCTCAAACGAGCAAGAACACTCTAAACGCGCATTCTTTCCAAGCCGCAGTTCGAGCGCACAAAGTTGCAAACCAGCGCACAGAAGCGCACACGAGCACACGCCCACTGGAAAAAGCACGCTGTACTTGCTCAGCTTAGATTGACCGCGGTTGCTTTCCAACAACGGACATAGGTTAGGACAGTTCCCCAAATTTGAGCATTTGTTTTGCTGGGAAGACCCGGCAAGAGCTTCGAGACGTTGGGAGACGCACCCGCAAGTCCCCACCCCCTTCGTTTTTGGTCCCACTCGCCGCCAACTCGGCGTCGGGCGAGTTGGAACGCCACTTTCAGCTTGACTGTCCGCCGGAGAAACTGCTGCACCTGCGATGTGAGCATCTTACGAAGTGGGGGGACTGGAATTGGAGCAAAGTGTCGCTGTGACCTTTGAGCCAAGCAGTTTTGGTTGGACATTCGATCACCTGTGAAGGGGTGGTCCTGGGCGGGCCCAGCGCTAGCCTCAGCAGAAGTGGGGAGGTGAGCGAGACGGCGGCACTGTGACGGTTCCTGAAGCAGGGCAGAGAAGGAACACAATCAACCTGGATTTGTGTGGGGCGTATTTGAACATCCAGACCTTTTGGTGTGGTGGATGGACAGGAATAGTTGCATTTGTTTGGTCAAAGCATTCATGGGCAGTTCCCACATTGATGAGACAGGAAGCCAGCTTAGCTCGGCTGGAGGCTGGCCAGCCCAGGTCCAGCGCTGCACCGTTCTGCTTCCAATGACAACATCCCATTTGCTTTGCAATCCCGTACCCAATTAAGTGGGCTGGTTGGCATCGTGATGTCTTCTAGCTGTTGATGTTCCGGAGTGGCAGCCGTAGGTTGAATTCGACAAGGAGTCGAGGAGTGCAAAAGGTCCCGGGTTTGCCAAGTTTGCCAAGTTGCTATTTTTCTCTCCAAGCCAGTTCAACCACCTTTTTTCTGCCCCAGTTGGCCCTGCGAAGACCGGTTTCAGAGCTCCGATTGCTTCAGCCATCGACTGACGCATAGCTGGCGGGCGCCCGTGACGGCACGGCTTCGTGACTGTCGCTGGAGCCATTTTGACCGATGCATTGGACTTCTTTGCAACGCATGACGGCATGGATTCTTAAAAGACGATGATGGTTTGGAAGCACGTCGTTTCCGCCATACGGAGGCACCCGAACGGTTCCGCTTTCGCACTTTCGGAAAGGCAGGTGGCCAATCATAGAGTCATAGACGTTTCGACCGAGCACAGGTGCCCAAAGCGAGCATCTCCCGCTTTCATTACACAGTTTTTCTTAAGCCAGCAAACTCGTCCAAGCAGAAATGCTTGCAGCAATTGAAGAAGATAGGCTGCATAAGTGTTTCTCCAAGACCTTTTTGGCATCGGCTCACACCGTTGCCGGATTCTGCGCTTTCCTGAGCGCCAACGTGAGGGGCCCAGGGGGGGCTGGCACCAAGGCCTCGGCCCACAGATTCACCTGACGACGATTCGCAAAGCCGTGACCTTGATTCACCTGGAGGCCAAGAGATGCAGATGTGCCAAGAGGGGCAGAGATAGAGATCCACAGGACTGAGTGTGACCGAGTCCTCCGATGATCCGAGGCGAAGAAGCCGAAGACGTCCGGCGGCGACGAGAAACACAGCGACGCTCCGGGCGCGGGTGCACCGTCGGGTGCGAAGTGAAACGGGTGGGCGCTTCTCGTGCTGACCGGTTCTGCCGGAGTTTGGGAAGATGGTTTGCCAGCGGTTTGGCCGGCTCACCAGCGGCTAAAGATGTGAGGCTATCAAAGTAATGAGGTTGCTTTGAAAGGAGAATGGAGAATGTAGAAAGCAGAAGTGAACCACGTAGCACTTGCTAAATTCTTGGGCAGACTCAGGCAGACAAGCTCACAAAGTTCCACGTTTTGGCATGCATCGTCATGGCCTTTGGTGCTTGGCCCAAACCTGTTGGAGAAGCTCAGCTTGTGAATACCTGCGCTTCTGTGTGTGCCGTTGCGTTGGCCTGCTGTACGCAAAGTCGGTCCCAGGATTTGCCAGAGAAGACCGAGGAAATTTATGTGCACAGAAATCGGAAGACCTTAAGCAACCTGTAGGAGATAACCTGCGTGGCCGTGCTGAGGCCTTTCGCAACTGCTTCGTAGCAAACTTGGCCCAGAATTCCTTGGCCACTTTCCTCGGTGTCACAACCAGTTCAGTTTCAAACAGACAGCGGGCTTGGAGTGGAAGAGGAAACTTGTTTCATCGAGCTGCTTGAGATACCCAGCTCGTGATAGCTCCACTGATCTTGTTCTAGTGTGCCAGCCGACGATGGCTCAAAACGATAGGTCTTTGGGAGCTTAGTCCCAGCTTTGCGATGCATGATGTGTTCGTTTGTGAAAGGATGAAGGATGTACCAGCTGTGGTGCAAGACAAGAGTTTCTGGAACAGGTTGTGACTTGTGGTCAGTGTTGGCCTTGAAGATTCTGTGCACCCATCATTGCGATTTTTCCGAAGCAGCGCCAAGGTAGCCATGTAGCCTATGACCCCCGAGAATTCCAGCCACACCCAAGGGGCAACACCACTTGTCAAACAAACGTGCATCAATATATAATATATATATATACCAAACAAAATAACAATTTAATATATAACATTAATATATAGCAATATATATAGATACAGTATGATACAGTAGATACCCTCCCCACTTGGTCGCAGTCGCGGCCAGCTCCACTTTGGATGCTCCTCGCCTCCCCCCCCCGCTGGTGCACCGGGCGACGATCACCGCCGCGCCCGCCACGCGCCCGAGCCCGAAGTGCTCGACGCCACTGTCCTCGGTACTGGGCACATCGCCTGCCTTCGTCTCGGGAGGAGGTCTCCAGAAGTAGGTGAAGGCGCCTGAGCTGAGCAGCATAGCTGAGCAGGGACAGGCAGTTCAGTGAAGTGGTGGGTGCAGAATCCCCCGCCCTGCAGCCCTCTAAGACTCCAAAAGGTGGAGCGAAACTTCAACATACATTCAGGAAGGGTGGTGATGTGCATCAGGTCGAAACATTGGCATGATCTATTATGTTATGTGTTCAAATCTTGTTCGCGGTACCAAATGATCTTTCTCCACATTGGAACAACTGGTGCTTTGCACAATCCTGAATCCTGCATGAGGTGGCCAAGCCAAGAGCCGGCCTCCTAGGATGATGAGAAAAGGGAAGATCCACATCCAATCGCGCCCATTGCGCTCCATGAGCTCCGCCGAGTAGTACAGCAGCACCTCTGCCACGAGGGAAGGCTATCGTTGTTTCATGTTGTTTCCACGCGGTGGGGATCTACATCGGGCGTGCTTCATGGGTGAAGACAAAGTCAACCAAAATGGCCGCCACGGGTGGCACCTTAAACTTGATACATCACATGTTCCTTTGGTCTTTTGATCACGTCTTTAAGACCCAAGACGTGGCGGGTTCCACTTCGCTGGACTGTCCCAGTGCGCCCAGGAGCGACGCAGCAAAATCCTGCGAGGGCTTTGGCGTCCGCTGGGCCGCAGGCCTTGGCCCAAAGCCTGGGAGATCAGTCTAGCCAGTCCAGCCAGCGCTGGACTTGGGATCTCAACACCTGGTTAAAACAGGTGTAAAACGTAGAGATGTACACCACTGCATATACAAGTTGCATGTCTTTGATATTAAACACATTAATGAGAGATGGGTCTTTTCGCCAAACTTCCCACGATCCCACACTTCCCACTCGCTTGACATCTCTGCCCGCATCCAGTTCCTTCCGGTTCGAGAGCCTTCGGTACCGTGACCCAGATATGGACTATATTGATCAGAACCCCCCCCCCCAGGAACTCCCGTCCCGTCCCCCCGATCACAAATCTGACAGCGGCATGATAGATTCAGATCCTACGAAAAACGATAACCCCATATCCAAATGGGTTATCCTACACCCATCTCCAAATGGGTCATAACCCCATATCCCAACACCATCTTCAGAAAGTCCGAAGAAACCCGACACCATCTTTGTTACGTGCCGACTTCATCATCGAGACCTTCAGGTCGCCTTCAAACGACCGAGCTGTTTTCGACCTTCAAACGACCGAGCAGCCTCATGCGAACGGGTGCAAATAGATTAGAAAAAAAACATGTCTAAACTTACAAACACTCCATGTATGGCATATAACGGCATATATATATATATATACCTAGATGTTCCTCAGGCAGTTATTTCTGCCTGAATGGTTTCAGGCGGTTTTTTCTGCCCGAACCTCAGATTTCCGCCTGAGGCAGAAATTTCTGCCCGAAGGCAGTTGCAGAAATTCAGAATTTGTAAAGCACATCAGTGCCAAAAAAAGTCATGAATCATGATTACAACATATTACAAAACAGGGTGTTCGGGTAAATCCGCCCGAATGCCGGGAAGTTCCGGGAAGTTCCGCCTTTTTGAAACCCCAGAAAGTCTCTATTGTTTTACATGTAGACCTGTTTGAGCTTTGCAGTTTGCAAATTACGGCTCCTCGTTGAAACCACCTGATTTGGAAGATCCGCCCGAGGGCGTTTTTTCCTGCCTTTTTCGTAGAAAGGCAGATTTCAAGCAAAAGGCAGGTATTAAAGCCCGTTAGAGGATCTAGGTATACCATGGTATACCCAGACGCGACCCATGGGACTGCCATAGGACTGCCGCATCAGGCCAGGGGTGGTTGACTGGGGGATCAATGGGGCGGCATATATGGCAGTCCCATGGAGTGCCTGGGTTAGAAAAACCATGGTCCAAAAATACCAACACTCCATGTATATGGCATATATATTATATATACACCTACATTATCCTACATTGGGGGTGGTGCCAGGGGGGTCAAAGTAGGTACATATATGGCAGTCCCATATGGAGTGTCTGGGACAACTCCAGGATTCAAGAAATCCAAAACCATCCAAGTCCAGTCCCCGTCCCCATGCCCCAAAACTCTTTCCTCGGCTCCAGGTCACCCAATCGCCGCCGAGGCCACCAAGGCCACTCCCGCCGCACTGAGCCCACCGACCAGACCCGCCAACCACGTGTGCTCGGCGATGACCTGGAGAAGGCGCAAGCGCGGGAAGCCGCTGGCGGGAAGCCGCTGCACGAGGCGAGAAACCGAAAAAAAAAAAAACACTGAGTCGTCTTTGGTGAGGAATGAAGAGAAAGAAGTGAGGACCAAGAAACGGTCTTAGAAGAATGGCCAAGCCTGAACCTTCGGTGCGCATTGCGCATGAGAAAAAAACGAAAAAACCCACTCAGAGTCGGAATCTACCATCCAACTCGACAGGTCCGGTTCAACTGGTTTTTTGGGCCCAAGCACTTAGCCTCTTTAGGAGACCTGTTGGGGTCGGGTGCTGGTAGAATCCAAGCCCCAGCTAACCCGGACCTAGGACCAGCCCTTCCGTCATCGCACCCGGCCTGGGGAGTCGCCCAGTTGTGCGCCGTCATGCCCAGGATGGTCATCATGATGGCCCCAGGATATTGGAATAAAATCCCACTGAGCAGTCCACCCAGGATGCCCTGCTTCGTGGTGCCCAAGGCAAAGGACATCTGAGTGGAGCTGGGACCCGGCATGCATTGACAGACTGCAAAGAGCTCAGTGAAGACGTCTGCACTCATCCAGCCCAGCCTGATTGATTTTCCACGTTCGCTTCGAGAAAACCATTCGCCAATGAGTCAGGAACCAAGGCTTTTGATCCACTGAGGGTCTTCTGGGAGAGTTCGTTGGAATGCCTTACGTGCTTTTCGGGCATCTTTTGGAGCAAGGTCCCCCCATGCTTAGAAAGAATGCTCCACCAACTCCCTGCAGCCATTAACTCCCTGACAGTCAGTGGTCCCGCCAAAAGCCCAGGAATCTTCTTGCCCTGAGCCACCCAAAACGTGCTCCAATAATTTTCAGTACCAGCTCCACATGCCAGTGGTGATCTTATGACCTCTTTCATCCTCTTTCATGCATCTCCTTCAAACTCCCCATCCTCCCCATCTCCCTCCCTCCTCTCTACGAAGGTCTTCTGGAAGAGGCCCACATGCGCCGCAGGCCCCCCGAAGGCGGTCCAGCCCATCAGCACAAAGTGCTTCGCGATGTCGCAGAAACCCACCGACCTGGACGTCGCCGGAGCTTCGACATCGACGGGCGCTTCAGCTTCCCCCATGGGGACGACCTGGGCGAGTCTGAGCCACAAAGGACTGAGGAACATGAAACAAAAGAACTGCACTGCACAAAGCAACCTACAGAGGTTCAGTGACCTGAACTAGGACCCGTAACCAGGGTACCGAACTAGGATAGTCGAACGGGTTCTGATCCACCTCTGCCCGTTCAGGTCCAATCAAGCCCTGCACCGGAAGGTCCGGTTCAGGGTCTGCATCGGTTGTCCAGAGCCTCAGGCAGAACACCATGAGGGACCTGTCCAAAAACCAGCTGGAGGAGTCTAAGCTTGCAACAGGGCGGTGGCTGACTCGTTTGTTCCAACACGTGGCTTCAACTGCTGCTGAAGGACTGTCGCTTTTGCAGTCAAAGGTCGAAAAATTACGTGAATTTGCGGCTCAAGTGCATCTAGGACAAGCAGAATATGGTAAAATAATGCAGAATAGGACTCCAAAACAACATAAACCTGCCCATTCAGGCTGATGTATATACTGATTCATCGCATGGATGCTCTAAACCTCATAAATAAGATTCTGCCTGCCCTGGGCGCTCCTATGGCGCCCCCATTAAAATCCTGAATTAAATGGGTATGATCTGCCGGCCCACCTCGTGGCCGCCACCCGCTAACGCTGGAGCCGACCCCGCCACCGGCTCGGCGGGCTCGGGCTCGGGCTCGGCGCGTTTCGGCCGCGCCTGGCGCTTCAGCAGCTCCTGGAACTGCAGCCGGACGACTCCGCTGATCCACTGCACCAGGGCCTGGCGCACGTGCTCGTTCACCTCTTCAAAGCCGACGGTCTCCTGCAGACTTGAACAGCTTGACCCTGTGCCCGGAAGTCATTTACCTATATAATCCTATATATTATATACAAGATCCGAAAACAACAAACTCTGTCAGAGCTGAACACATACAGTACCTGAGGCAGGTTAGCAGCACCAGCAGCATCGGTCTCTATATCTTTTAGGCAAAAGGACATCGAAGTCACAAGTTGACAACTCCCGTAGCCAACTGAATCCTACTCAAATAATATGCCTTGAGTCTCTAATGACCCTTGTAAAATTGCCATTCAAAGAAAAAGAAGTGTTTGAAAGAAAGCACTTGTTTTTTGGATTTTTTGGTGCATATGTCACGAAGTGTTCCTTTTTGTTTGTGCCCTGTCAGATCCTCCTTAGACCGTTTCCTGAGACTTTTTTTCGGCGTCCAAAAGGCGTCTGTTTGCGTCCAAAAGGTGTCTTTAAGTGTCCGCACGGACGCGTCCGGATGAAGATTCACTCACTCTGTATCACTCTGTACCTATTTTTTTTGAGTCCTCATCTCTGAAAACGCGTTTTTCGAGCAAAAACACTAAAATATTGGACCCAAAACAAAAACAAAAGGTATTCGAGACTCAAGGTAGTCATACTAATTACTCAGATCCTGGATCAACGATATCAAAACCATTCAAAGCCCTTCACGGATCCACAAAATCTCCAAATCCCTACAGTATCCTACAGTCCATCCTGGATGACCTTCTTCACTTTGAACTCATCTCTTGGATCGAAGGCTTCCGCATTCGCCGAGTCGACCTGGCAGAGCGACGCCGTGACCTCGTTGATGCCCGGCTCGCCTCGGTTGATCTCGGCGGTCAAGGACCATTGCGCCTCTGCAGGCATGACGAAGGTCACGGGCACCTCCAGCGAGCAGGCCACGTACTGCTCGTAGACGGTCCAGACTCTTTGCAAGTAGATCGGCTCGTGCCAGGCATCGAGAATGGCCACCACTTGTCCAATCCGCCGCAGGTTGGATTCGAAGACGTGGTCCAAGTCATCACTTCCCGAGCGAACTGACTGGTCTTTCATGATCCGGAACTGGTTGTTCACAAAGAAGCACATGAAGAAAAAGACCCTTTCGGCCTCAATCCTTGTGGAGCTGCTCCAAATCGCCAAAGCACTTTGGATCTGCTTCAAAGTGTACCTCCAGGTCCAGGACATGAAATGCGTCTGAGGCTTTCGATCGGCTTTGGGCAGTAAGTCTACTAAGGCACAGCCTGGTTCCCCATCACGTGGGCAGGGGACCTGCTCTCCCAAGGGATCAGCACCGAACCAAAATGCCACCTTCAGCTCATGAAAGTCGGGATTTGGCTTCTGTGCCCTCTGCTCTGCCAAGTCAGTGAAATCCGAAAGCAAGTATCGCATGCTGACTCCTGCAATCCTACTGTGCTGGGCTCGGATCTCGCCAGCCTTCTGAACTACCTCCCCACGCGTCCAGCCAAGCTCTTGCAGTTGTGCTGCATAGGTCTCCACCGTGGTCGTCTCCTCCGCTTGCCACAGGTCGGAATCTAGCATTTGCACCAGCTTCTGCGCTTGCTGTACTCGTGCAAGGGTCCTCTTTCGCCCAGCTTTCAGGACTGCCCTGGACACAAAGAACATGACGCCTGCGCAAACCAACAAGAAGAGCAAAATGACCACCAAGGGCCACGGGGCACACTTGTCGCCAAAAAGCATTCTGGGGAATTCACATGGTTTGCATGCATCCATGTCTGCCGTCGCAAAGTGCCCTGGTGGGCAGTCCCTGCAATCACTTTGGGCTGCGTTGGGTTCCAAACCTTCGCCGCAGCGAACACATTTCGAGCCTCTCGCGATGAAACCGGGCTGACAAGGCCTACATGAGCTCCAAGTCATTGGTTCCCACCCTGCGGGGCATGAGATGCAGTGGAGGTTGGCTGGCGCTGCACTCAGATCCTTCACTCGAGTGGCATCTCGGCAGCGGCAGCAGGACGCCGCTGTGACAGCTGGGCCCTCAACGCCCGTCAGGACGCCCTCAGCTGGGCAGGTGAAGAATTCGCAGCGAGGCTTCAGGAAGGCTCGGGCCGTGCCTGGCACAAAGGGCAGTCCGTGAACACAGAGTGGATTTGAAGATTCAGCTCCAACCCTGGTGATATTCAAAGCACAACAGGTAGTAGGTGAACACGGCAATCAGCATTTGGCACTCATAATTACAAAGCAAGTTCAGTGTTCTCAGATATCCCTTGAGCCCCCCGCCTTCCCCACGCTTCTCTGGCAGCCCTTTCCCGATGTACAGGGCGCATCGCCCCTTCTCCAAGACAAAGGCCGAGCAGTTCACAAACCCTTCACAGACTTCGGCGCAGCCACGGTACGTCGGAGCCACATCAACCAAATCCACCTTCTGCAGCTGCTGTGGTGTCCATTGGTTTTGGCCCCATTGACCTTGGCCAACCTCGATGAAGTTCGAGTTCACTGGGTGGCACTCTCCATCCACACAAGCTTGCTTGGAATCAGGGCATCGGCGAGCTTCACAACTGGAACAGGTGGAAAAGCCCCAGTAGCGTTTCAACCTCCCTGGCAACCTTCTTGCTTGGGACAAGGATCGTAGATTGCACCGAGACATGTGGTTGGCTGTCAGCATGCCCTCCATCATGCTGGCATTCACCGACGCAAAGTCCCAAGTGCCAAGAGGCTGATCAAAAGCAGTCGCACCGGAGAACATTTGACTCATATCCACCACAGCCGAGACATTCCAACACCCCAGCGGCTGGTCGAAACCTGTCGCATGAATGAACATGCAGCTCATGTTCTTCACAGAACTCGTGTCCCATCCATTCAGGGGCTGGTTGAACCTATCCGTCCGGGCGAACATGATGCTCATGTCCGCCACGGCTGAAGTATGCCAGGTTCCCAGTGGGTGGTTGAAGTTATCAGCATCCTCAAACATGCCACGCATAGTCACAACCGATGAAACGTTCCAGTCTTCCAGGGCATGGTTGAAGCTCCTGGCTAAGGAAAACATGCTCCGCATCGTGATCACCTGCGAGGTGTCCCAGGAGCCCACGGCCTCACAAAGGCTTTGAAGGAGTCTGTTCCATCCTCAACGGCCGGAAGTGCCCCATCCTCCCAAAACCTGACCTGTTGTTTCAAGGCAGAGTGCCCTCAGTCT